TCGATAGATGCCCCATTCATCGACATTTGGATCGGTGATATTCAATTGTCGTGTGTTTGCAAAAGGATCGAAAATTCCAATCTAATTGAAAAAAGTAACAATTTTGACCATGCATTATTTTAAGAAATTTTTAGAGCTGCCCATTTTTGAGTTTTGAGTTGCCCATTTGGGATTTAGAACTGCCCAAATGGGCAAGAGCTGCCCATTAAAATAATGCATGATTTTGACACAAATACACTTAGTTTCATGGATTCAAGATTTCTGGCTCTGAAAAGGAACTTTTCTCCAAATCATTCAAAATCAATATAAATTTTTTTCCTCGAAATCAACTTGAAAGAACTTACGTTTTCTTTTTTACAAGTGGCCATGACGATTGCATTCATTATACCATGAACTTCCCATAGTTTTGCCAGGATTCTGCTGGCTAATCGATCCCAATTTTCGTTGCTTCCAAATCGGTTATAAATCAATATGATGTAGTAAGCTCGTTTCGAATGAAATGGAGGCCTTGATCCCCTGCCGCTCAAATAATGATCGATAATTTCGATATTAGAGGCCAAAACAACGCTCCCACTTGACGGATCATCTTCTCGATTCCAGTTTCTCTTCAAGATTTGTGCTCGAATATTCAGCTTATCCTCTTCGACGTAATAGGTGCAGTTTGGTCCATGGTCCGATAGTTCCGGATGCCATTGATATGTATTATCGTTGAAAGTGCCCTTTTCGTCTGTTTGCTCGTCTTGGGCGTTGTATCGAATACGATGAGTGTGATATTCCAATCCAGTGTGATGGTAAAGGTCGTTCAAAAAGTAATTCATAAAATGTTTTTGCTTGGAAAAATCTACACCGCGAACAATTTCTGTTACGTTTAGATGGCTTCCAACACGCAAAAAATACCACGTAATCAATTCCCATTGGGTTTCCGAAATCTCACAACAGGTCGTCGGATTCAGAGTTTTGTTAAATTGTTTCGATTGTTTCCATTGTTTAGCTATATTTTGCACAATGTGGCAATAGTCAGAAGATTCGCCTTTGCCTTTGAATATAAGGAAGGTTCCGAAAAGAATAAAAACCACTGATACTCGCATTGTTTGATGCTGTCCACTTTAATGAACGGACATTGGTGGAGCAAATCCCTTTTATACCTGAGCTCAGGGTATTTTGTTGATCAAAGCCCTATTAATTGAACAAATAATTGTTATCTCAACTCAAATGGACATTCGAAAGATATTTCCGGAAAAATTCCTTAAATGATCATTAAATGGTTCTAACAAATGACACTTCGGCGGCATAATGGAATTTTCCAGCAATTTTCTTTGCATGTCTCATTTGCTTCCTCTGCGGTGAAACGAAGCCCGCCACGTTGAACAGGCGAGATAGTGCACACATCATTAGCGAGAGCAGTACAGCACACTGTACTGCTCTCGCTCCAACACACACTGCAACTAATAATACGAACTGAGCATAGAAGCGTAGTCTGTTACACACAGAACAAACAATTGAATAATTTTCGCTTCCGATTTGCAATCAGTTAATTGGGAAAGGAAAGTTTTAATGGCATTTCCACCATCTTCCATAATTTATACTTTACAGAGTAATTATAACGAATTCGTTCTTCCAATGAACTTATGAAGCCTATGAAAACAAAAATAATGAATGATGATGGGAGAACCATCAAAACTGTTTTTTCCCAATTAATTAATTGCAAGACGGAAGCAAAGATAATTTAATTGTTCATTTCGTGTGAAAAATGATATTTAGCTTTTTCCTTTCTTTCAGAATTTTTAGTTGGAAACAGATTTTGATTGCTTTCTTTTCATTATTGATCATCAAGATTTGGAGTGTGAACAACTTTCATAATAATGAACATGAACATGACCTAAGGAGATTTATCTCTCGCAAATGCTGCGAATGCATTCGCATTTCAGAACAAAAATTCGAATGTTTGCGAATGCGACGAATGCGGCTATGACAGCGAACTTGTAACTACATAATTCGTTCGTTCATTCGTGTTTGGGCATGCATTCGCAACGCTGCCGTATGATTTCCATGTAAACATTCGCATTCGCATTCGTTAGAACGTTCGAGAACAGCGAAATACGACTGCTACACGAGTGCGAGTGTTTACATAGAAATCATATGGCACTGAGCGCGAATATGTGAATAAAAATTCGAATGCCAAACCGACATAGAAGCCCCTAGACATGACTTGTGTGAAAATAACCGTTTGTTTTTCATTTATAATTATCACACTGTTTTCACTTTTACGCTGGTAATATTTAGTTTTATCGTCAATAATTATATTTACATAGTTTATACAAAATACAATTAAATTATCATAATTGCTGCCGAGAACACAAGGAAAACTTCTGAAACTGCCATTCATCCAAAATGTCAATGTAATAATTACTTCACCGAAAATACCTTATCAATGCTAATTCAAAGTAAATAACGAGTTATAAAGGGCATATATTCGAAGACAAAGAAGACAGAGCATAGTAGCCAAGAGAATCTGGAATTCAATGGGATATTCGAAAAACAATGATGTATAATTTCACACATCAGGTACCACATCACATTTTATTCAAAGAATGTATAGATGTAAACATTTTTTCAATTACATCCCACAAGGAAATTTGCTATAAACTCAATAGTCACAATAACTTAACAGTGAAGTGTCACAGTCACAGTGAGCATGCGAACAAGCCTAGGGGCATTTCACTCGCATTCGAATACATGATCATTCGTGCACGAGTCCTGCATTCGCAAAAAACAGTATAAGTATTTGCATTCGCACCATGTATTCGTACTGCCGCGCGAGCATTCGCGCGACTCCGCATATGAAACGTATTGAAACACTCACACATGTATTCGTCACGAATGCGCTCAGTTGCGATGAAGTGTCAAACACAGTCAAACATGTGGAAAGGTGTCAGACGTGTTTGAAAAATTACAACGTGCATTAGGTGAACCTCCACCAGAAATTTTACAATTAATTCTCACACATTCTGGATTTGATACAGAAAGCGCATTAGCTACGTTGAATACAAGCATTTGCGGTCGCAGGTGTCCTATTTTTTGCAAATTTGTTTCCGTTTGATTACAATTCTTGATTAACTGTGGCAACTGGATGATAAGCAATCGGTGACCCGGTTTAAATTCAAACTTATTCACATTCTCGTATGATGTTTCTTTGAGAATTTCTGGGTTTTCAATGACATAGTTCTCGATATCCATAATAGCATCGTTGTCAATGGACATTAGAGTTGATTCATTTTCAAATGCACAGAATTCCAGGATTTTAATAATATCGGCCGAAATTTTTACATTCAAATATTTTTCTAATTTGAAAATAACATTTTCCAGTCCCTAAAATACAAAACACAACTTAAATTGATATTAAATTTGAATCGAAATAACTATTTACCATTTTGGTGAACTAATGTAAACAATGTAGTTGCAACGATTAACACAACAAATCAATATAGATCTGTCAAGTGCATTCGCATTCGCGCAGCAATATTCGGACGTATTTGCTAATGCGCCGTAAATAGATACATTAAATGGTTATTCGTACGAATGCGAATATTCGGCACGAATATCAGTATTTGCGAGTGTTTATATTCAAATGCACGGCAAAGTATTCGCGCATTCGTACGAATAGCAGTATTCGCATAGAGTGAAATCCCCCTAGGAACAAGCATAACGCATACATACACGCACGCTCAACAGCCTACTGTGTGTATGTGTATGCATGTATGCGTTATTCCCGTTCGTGTGCTCACTGCGTCTGTGACACTTCACTGTTAAGTTATTGTGACTACTAAGTTTACAGTGAATTTTATTGTGAGATGATTAAACAATTAAAATGAAAAGGTATTTATTGAATGAAGTGGTCGAATTTGAAATGGGACAGAATCTTCAAAATCAGAGATGGTTCATCGTTTACCGCAAGTGTATGCAAATGAATATCGGCATATGCTAAAATGTATACCTTTGCGTTGAGCGCACGCGTCAGCTAATATTTCAGTGCCAGCGAACACGTTATTTAACGCAAAGGTATATCAATGTATATATACTTGTCTGCACGCAGTATAGACAATACGATGGATTGATATACATTTACTCCATCTCTGTTCAAAATTCCAGAGTTGAAGATCTGAATGAAAAGGGTCGAATTAGACCATTCTGCGAAACAATTTGATTCCAATGGTTAAATACAATTTCGTCTATAAAAAATGACAAAAACGTCTAGAATAAAAACAATTTCGTCTAATGAAAAATTGTTACTTTTTTACAAAATCGTCTAAAAATCTCCAAAAACGTCTATGAACAAAAACCGGATCAAAAATGACAAAATCATCTAAATTCACAGTTCCAAAAAAAGTGACAAAATCGTCTAAAAATCTCCAAAAAAAACCGATTCCAATAAACTCAAAAACAACATTTCCCTCATTAAGCTTCATGAGCATACAAAGACAATTGCTAAAAAGTTCCATTATGCTACCCAAGTGTCATTTGTTAGAACAATTTATTGATCATCAAAGGAATTTTTCGGAAAATACTGTTATTTGAGATAACAATTATTTGTTCAATTAATAGGAAGCTTTATTCAAACATAAATTTAGATAATAGTAGTTTTTTTGGACTTGATTGAAAGCTTTCCACTCTCATTTATTGAAAAAACATGTTATTCACATAATTCAAATGTATTTTGTTGAAAGATTTTGAACATAAAATAAGCTGATAGAAATATCACACATGATATATGATTAATAGAAGAAATGAATAAACCAATTCTTCTAAAAGTTTAGACGCTTCTGATTGCCACTTATTTTCTTAAACTTTTTGCGACGACTCGACTCAAAATCGCTTAGAACACTGTCCACAGGCCATATAATTCCTTGCAGTTTCTTGAATTTGTCTGGGTGTAAAACAAATTTTTCGACTCAAAAGACAATTAATGAAAGGATGTATCCAATAATCAAGATGTAAAATGGTGCTTGAATATCCTTCAATGAAAACGGATGGCGAATATTATTGTCTGTATGTCCTTGATGGTGCATATATGTATATTTTAATTAATTGTGTTCGATCATACCATAAAATAGCAAAACCTGAATTCGAAACCAGCTTGTTATGGGAACTTGTCGATTCATCACAAACATTCGATTTGTTTTCATTTTTTCAAGCTCAATAACGGTTTACCTCCTTCAGTAGGTTAGAAAATAATGCCGCAGGCATTCTGAAATCGCAATGAAATATTTATTGAACAACGATTCGATACACACCAGACATCATCACCTTTGATAACATGAATTTTCGCACTGCCATCATCATTCAAGTATTTTGTCTGAAAAGTATTTTTTTTAAATTATTTCAACAGTCAATCAATGGATTTTAAACGATGAAGTTGGTAATACCAATTCAATTTTTATTAGAAAACAAAAAAGGAAAATCCACAAAAAATTGGATTTTCTTTAATTCAAAACTACCTTAATCATAATTCAAAGATCCGAATAACGTTCAATGCTGCATACATCCCTAATTTCGACCACGCGTTCGACTGAAGTGAATGCCAAAAATTCATGAAAAAGTTTATCGTTAAGCGAACGCAGAACTTTGGAGCGAGTTTGACTATTTCCGAATATGTGGCGCAATGTTGGTGATGCAACTGTGATTACGAGTCCAGAGTCGTCCAGTTCTTTGAGAGTATCAATATTTTTGTTTGTATTTTTTAGTATAAGCTGTGGAGAGTGAGCTCTGTAGAATTGGGAAATATTTATGAATTTCAGTTGAAGATATTTTTCGAAATAATTATGATCAAACCTCAAATGATCCTCCGATGATGATATTGGCCAAAAGACACGATCCAATTAGCAATCTTTCAATCGTTCGAAACGGTAAAGCCGCATTCCTTCCGAACATCACTTGCTATGTAACGAAAAATATGTCTTAATGTAATGCTCAGCGATGCACGTCACCAGTTAATCGGCTAGTACACAGTACATTTGACCAGTTGCGACTTCGGTCAAACATTCGTTGTTGCGAATATATGCATCAAAGCATACTGTGACTCAAGTATATGGTTTACCAGTTACACCATATGTGCATAGCGCGCGACTTCTTACGAAGTGGTGCTTCGTCTCAGTTCGCACGCTGTGAGCTCGTTTCGACTGAAATAGATGCTTCGTTTGGTTGCCGCTCAAATAGTGATCGATAATTTCGATATCGGAGGCCAAAATCACGCTTCCACTGGCTGGTTCATCTTTGCAATTCCAATTTTTCTTGGGTTCGAATATTCAGCTTATCCTCTTCCAGGTAATAGCTGAAATTTCCATACTTTGATAGTTCCGGATGCCATTGATATGCATTGTCGTTGAAAATATCCTCTTTGTCTACTTGTTCGTCTTGAATGCTGTATTGAATACGATGAGTGTAATACTTCAGTCCAGTTTAACGGTAGACATCTCCCAGAAAATGATCCATATACCGTGTATGTTTATGAAAATCCATTTCGCGACTTATTTCACCCACATTGAGATAACTTCCAACGCGCCAAAAATACCATAAAATTAGCTGCCATTGCTTGTCAGAAACCCCACAAAAAGTCATAATATGGGGAATATTATTGAGATTTTGCCATTGATCAACTATATTTTGCGCCTCGTCGCTATAGTCAGAAGCATTGCCTTTGATAACTAATAAGGCACCAAAAATTAAGAAAACCACCGACACTCGCATCAATAATGCTTTTCACTTGAATGAATGGAATGTGTGCGAACCGAACTCTTTTATAGCCAGATATTTTTTTTTTATTCTTCGGTTTCTTCATAACGAAATTGATTTTGGGTTGATTAGAAACGAAGTAAACGGATTCGATGTCAATTTGGTTGAAAAAATCGGAGCTTTGGTTGTTTTCTTATCATTACCTATGATGATTCTTAACAATAATATAATATAATGAGAACCTGTGAGTATTTCCTACACGTAATTGATTCTTTTTCGATGGGAATTATACCATTTCTGATTACAACCGATTCACTGTAATAATTATTAATTAATTGTGGACGATTGAACTCCTGGAAATACAACAAATCGCTGAAAATGCCATTCTTCTTCGGAACTCAGAAAGAGAGTCTCTAAAACGACATTCACAATAACAATTCGCAGTAAGAAGCATCGCTCGAGTGCTAAAAATCAATATAAAGAATGAGTTAAATAGAGACATTCCCCTTGAGCGTTAAGTAAACAATAGCCAAAGCGGTCACTGTACGGAATAGAAAGTTCGATGACTAATGATTGCTTTAAAACTAATATTTTTATCTCATTATTTTCCAATAAAGGCAACAAAGTGGTTGTCGACTAATTTAACCATGGCACGTATGAGAGATTGATGTGCTCGGTGTACACATTGGAATTTTAGTTGACGTATTCCACATAATTAACACATTGCACCTCAAGAGCCGAGTATATATGCACACACATTTTGAACGAAGCGTATTTGTTTGTTTGTTTTCTTCTGTGTGTACGCAATGAATTCAGTTTGTTGATTTTAACACGGCAGCGAAATAAACGCCACACCAAGCCAAACTCAATTTACATCGGAACAAACAATAGCCATCATTCAATTAGCACGTAGTGACTAGTTAATTTTTCTATTTGTCACATTTTTGAAGCGAAATAGAAGCTTAAAAATGAAGCCATAGCATTCATTGTGGCAATAACGCGCAGCGGCAGCACCAACGGACGTGTATATATTAATGTCATTTGTCATGTTTGTCGCCACCTGTCTCGCGCATTTTATGCATTTAATCATGTCTCGTTTTCCTTTAATAACATATTTTTTTTGTTGGTTTTTGCGCAAAAATAAAAAATCGCACTTGGTTTTTGAGATAGCAGCATGAAGTTTGAAGCATGGGCACAACGTGCACTGAAAGTGAATGGTGTTAATTAGACTATAAATCACTGGCACTTACCAACGGCTTTGCTAAATGTTTTTCTTTTGTGTCAAAGGCGCTCGTTGTCGCACTTTGTATTACATGTGTTTTAATATCAATTGACGACAACAACGACGACGACGACGACACGACAGTGGCAACGCACACAATCTCGAACCACTATGAACGACCGAGCAAGTGATGCATAAATAACGCGCATTTACAATGGACGATAGTGATTACCGTTTCAACAACTCTATGTAAATAAGTCGTTTGTATATCAAAATATGATGCGAAACGAAATTGGCGAAGGTTACTCACATTCGACCGCTTGTGAAGGTCCTATCGCCATACCACATCACAATTCATTTGCACAGTGTGTGCAACAGGCGTACAAATGTCATTCGTCTTCCGTTCCTTGTTTTTTTTTTCGGTTCGCCTCTTGCTGCTCACTGCTCGCTGCGTAGAGAGAAGATGATGGAAGAGGAAAAACAACACCGAGATAGCTGCGTATAATAATTTGTGTGTGTTTTAATCACATTCGCTTTTGTGTAAATTGCTGGTGACACTTTGCATACCGTTTAAAAATGATTGCTTTTGTCTGTGCGCGCATCGCGTGTTTGTGTGTGTATCATTGCCAACGCGCGACCAATTACTGTTTTAGACACATCAACAACAATGTCAATGCTGTGAATTGTGAGTTGGCCTCCGTCACACCCTCACTTACTCATCATCAGCGTCAGAATATCAATTTACAGTTTACTCGACAGGCGCTGTCAAATTGCAGTGATAATAACTCGTTCGCTTGTGCTGAACTGGTGCATGTCTGTTTCTCCATGTTACAGCCTTTTTTAATTCTGACAAATTCAACGCAGCAATCCGTCAACGCACACACGACTTGACACGGTTTATTATTTCAGAGAGTGATCTAAAATTGAAAAAAAAAAGGATGAATCTGTCTCGTTAATCCATTCCTAACGAAATATTCCATTCAACACAATCTCTGAATCATTCCACACTCTCTCTTTCTCCTTCTCCATATCTCTCTTACACTCACTGCAGCTCAGGAAATCACATTTTTTTAATTTTTGAGATTTTCTCCGTTCATTTTCCACTTTCCTCCTTCATTTGATCACATAAAAATAACCCATCGTAAATCTTCACCGTTTTCATTTGTTGTTGTTTTTCTTGTTTCGTCTCCATTCAGCACTTTCAGTTGTTCGCCATGCGCTCACATCATTTTTTTTTTCATTAATTTTGGTGGCTTTGAATGAAAATCAAAATAACATAATTTACCGCAACGTTTTACGTCTCCGATCCTCATGCGTGTGGAAAATGATGCCGAACGAGAGCAAGCGATAGGATGTGCGTTGTGATTCTCAATGTGAATGCGAAACGATGAAAGTGGAAAAACGTGAAAATCCGTCAAATCAGTAGATTTAAAACGATAGTAAAATAAATACGACGAGCTTCACGTAATGAAAAGCAACGCAAACGGATGAAAAATGCTCTTCAAAGTATTCGGTTAATTATACTCAATCTGTAAAACAACACAGTTCAAGACACCCACGTCAGGATCACTTAATCTGTAATATAATTTAGTTTTTTTTTGGTTTGCTACGTCGTTTTAAGTGGATTCACTGTCTTGTCGTTGTCGTTTTTTTTTCTCTCTTGCTGTGTGTCTCAAGAACGGAAGAAATCAAATTGAACGCGATTCAAGAGACAAAGTAGATTCATGATGATGTATTTGTTTTTTTTGTCTCTCGCTCGTTCTATGGCTTGAATTTCGTTTTCGTTGTTGAAATTGAAAAATAACACTTTATCTCGAAATCGTTGCTGTTTCACTCTCGCTGTTGTGTCAAATAAACATTTTTGATCATATTTAATTTTTGATTTTGTGGAATGGAGAAACAAGCCAAAGGAGAAAGAAACGACGGCGACTCTCACTGCGAATGGAAATATGTAGAGATCATGACATCAGTTAAAAGACAAAGGCAACGAAAATTAAAGGCGAAAAAATAAAGAAAATCTTTGAGTTGAAAACGAATAATTCAAATGAAGAATTCGAAACGAAGAAGAGAATATCCTAGGAGACTTTATTCCACACAGCGCGCGCTCACTTATTCACTCAATATGTTACAAGGAAAAAAACGAGCCTTGTCTATTCCCGTTCACTTTGATTAACGTTACCAATCAATTGACAGTGATTATTTGTGTCTTACCAGGCAGCCAGTTGGGCTGCTCACGTCATGAGCGTGTCTCAAACAAAACAACGACGATGATGATGATGATAAACATTGGAAAATCGCACCATGCTACCGGCTCCGTCGATTTTCATTAACTCACGATAAAATACGTTAGTTGATTCGTTGAAAATTGAACATATTTTTTCGATATATTTAATTTTTTTTTTCGCTGTCGTTTCGGTTCGCTGGTTCGTCGTCGCATCATTTTTAATGGTAAGCATTATGTCAACCGTCACAAATCATGTCATACACACACAAAATGTTAATTTATACACAGGCACACAGCAACGTAGCAGCAGCATTGCATACACTTACAAACGTCAAAACATAAAAAGAAGATGTAGTATGCTTGCTGTTAAAAGGCTTTTTTTAATGACCGTGCGTGTGTTAAATATCGTGTGTGTTGGTTTTGTTGTCTCCTTCTGGTTATTTTCTCCTGTCGCCGGATTTGAAACGGTCGACTCTCACCCGTTGGCTGAGAAAGCCGCTACGTGGCGATGATTGTGTGTATATTTTTTTTATTTGTGTGCGATCGAGTCTGCTTTGCTTAAATTATATCTCTTTTTCGTGTTATTTATTTCGGTTGGTGTTTTCTTGCGTATTCGATGATTTTTAATGTGGAATAATTATAGTTGATATGTTGATAGTTTGCATTCGTTCGAACATGTTTGCTTCACGTTGTTATTGCCGGTGCTGTCGCTGCTGTTGCTGCTGGCTGCTGTGCCCATATATTTTCTGTCAATTGAGTGAGATGCTTGTTGAAAAAAAACACAACAAAAATTATTAATTCCCTCGTGTCGTCGCAATATCACCGCCATAAATTTGTACCACGTTTGTTTAACGTTTTATGTCAAACAGCTGAAAATTTCTCGGCGAATGCTCACGGCTTTCACAGTGTGATCGTTGTTTTGCGTGTCGTAAACACTTTAGCCTTATTAAAATGTTAACAAAAAACATTGACAGGGAAAAATCGTCTCGATTGACGCCACATCGTTTCGCATGACCAACACATACACAAACATTCCTGTTAGAAATTATAATATCACAAACCGCCAATTCAAATCAAATTGAAGAAATTACCAATGAAATATTTATCCAAGATTGTAGAAATGAATTGAGAAAAGGCGAGAAAAACTTGAAAAGAAATTGAGATAGTTTTTGAATTTATTGCATGACGATTCCGTTGCCACATTAGATTGCCTACTTTTGTCAGCTTATTCCAGCCGGCGACATAAAACCATCTATAGTTGGTAGTGTAGTTCAAGTAGACTCTAATGATCATTCCGCAACAACTCGACACCAATCGACGATGATGACGATGAGCATTGGCAATAATCTAGACACTGGCCGAGGAATTTTTACCGGCAACATGGGACGTATATCATTTAGTGGATATAAATTATTCATTTTCATACGGATTCCTGTCTGTCGCGCTCTTATTGTTTTCGATTCGCTCATAAGGGGCCATTCGTTGTTTCGCCTATTTTTTTCCTCTCTGTGTCATCCTGCCTCTCTCCTCGTCTCTCTCTCTCTGTTTCACTCTTTGGTGTAATGTCTCATGATTTCTGGTTCGGGCAGCAGAGCAAAAAAAGAAGAAAAAAAAATCGAAAAAATTAACCATGTCATAAATTTCGATATATATCAGTGCATGTGAACGATGTGAAATTCAACAATGGGGCAACCCAACACAATCTGTCTACTTCGGGATTTAGAGCCAAGAGAAAAAGAATCAACTGGAGACCAATGCACACCAAGCGACCACAACAAATGAATGAGAGAAAAAAAACCAGACCATGGCAGATTATAGAGAGCAGCAGCAGCCGCAAAAAAAGGCAGCACGGTGAATGAGCGCGTAGAGCGGATGACTTTGGTGCGCCCCGAACAGAAGGAGCCGAGAAGAGAGTGAGACAGAAATGATAATTTATTACATACGGTGGCAGCATTAAATGAATTTTCAACGACTGCAACGAGCAAAACACCACAGAGAGACCGCTCAATCTGGTTGCGCTTCGGCTCTATGCAAAAGCGCACTCTCTCACACGCCCCGACAGTTCGCGTTGTTGTTTCTCTTCTTTTTTTTTCGGCTGTGTTGCTGCAAATCCGCGAATTATTCATTTTGCTGCACGTTTTTTTGTGCACAACTCTCTTTGGCTCGGCATTAATAAAGGCTCTCATAGCTTGTTGACAAGAAATTATGGAAACGATTTTTATTGTTGACTTTTGACTATTCAGTAATTTATTGCAACGAACACACAAAATATCGCTACGCATTTTCGGTCGGTTCGGTGTTTTTTTGTTTTCATTTTGGCGATGCGGCTTTTTCTCGGCTTCTTCTTTCTGTTCTGATTTCGCCGCCCGTTGCTGAACCTGTCAAAAACACAATGGCAAATGCCAATGAACAGAATGCGCGAGATAAAGGCGACGATGTGAACTTGAACTCTTTCGGTACTTTCATTAGACGCGATCGATAAAATTAAGGCACTCAAGAATTTTCAGACACACCGCGCTCCTTTTTAGTCGATTCCGAAACAAAGGAGCATTTCCTTAGAAAAATTCTATCGATTGAAAAATTATAATTTTAAAATAAGACCAACGAATTCATGCGCTGCCAATTATTATGAGAAAAAAACCGCAAATCACCGCCAAGAAACGCTTTGATTCAATAGAAGCTATAAATTTACATTCTTTTGGAGAGAAAAACAAAATCGACATGACATTTTGTGCGGTTTATTTGACATTGATAGCCATCGTTTAGTGGTGAAACACACGTGTATTTTATGCAGTTCAAAACTTCCAGTAGAAACAGCACAGCGAAAAAATCGCAGTCGAAAAATCAGTTCGATCGATAAAAGAACTCCAATGTTCATTACATTGAAATCAAAATATAAATTGCACGAAAAATTCCGTTTTAATGTTTTCTTCAATCAATTTCGAACGAAATTACACAATTTCCATTAGCTTTTAATTAATCAATTGCATGATTTTCATCATTTTTCTCGTGATATTTGTTGCGAACAAACACAGCATCCAAAATAAATACCGGCTTATCTTCTCACGTTATTCTATTGAATTTAACATTGTTTCATATCATTGATGGAAATGGTTGTAATCAGCATTTAATGACAAAAATAGATGATTAATTCGACATGAGTCAATAGTACTTAAAATGTTGAATTTCCGGAAGTGCACGTGTTAGCGTTGAAATGTATTTTCAGCATTTCATGTTTACCACCGGAAAATTGAAATGATGAATTTCAATTATTTACACTGGAATTGATGACTTTTGAAAAACAGAAAAACCGAAAAAACAAATTGTGTGTCTTTTCAGCGGAAGTTAAATATTGAAATACTGAACGAAACATGTGAACTGGAGTTACTCATCCCAAAGGGGTTTACACATTGGTAGTGCTGATAAACGTGATGATTGAGCAATTTCTTCTTTTTTTTCCACTCTTCACGTGAAAATAATAAAGCAATTTTTTCTCTCGTAAATGACGGCAATTTCCCGAAAATCGATTGAAACTCCTCCGGCCGTACAACTTTCGAGAGAGATAGAGAGAGAGAGAGAGAGAGAGAGAGAGAGAGAGAGAGAGAGAGAGAGAGAGAGAGCGCCGTTAATCTGAATCGAGGGAACGACTGTCTGAATTGCGTATCAATATTTGCGTTGCGATTTTTGAGCATAAATCATTTCATGATGACGTTCCGTTGATCATCGACGGCGTCGGTAGTCACGATGATTGGCAAATATTAAATCTGATATGTGATACTTGAGCGAAGGCAGGCGAACGGAGCAAACGAGCAGCTCACAGAGTTGGACTCATTGCGTGGTTTAATATATATGATCCAAAATCAATAAATAAGAAATCTGATATCCATGTGTGCTTGTGTATAGTACATATCGAGAGGAACTTTGACTCTTGGACCTTTTCACGGTGGAATGACATGATGATGAATTCGTTTTTCGTTCGGCGACCAGCTGGATCTGTTCAACAATTGAACGAAAACAAATAAACATGAATCTCTCTCAGCGACCGAAAACAAGACAGAAAAAAAATGTGAAAAAGGATAATGGGCATGGGTTGAACGACGATGAAGAATAAGGCAAAAAAAAATAGTTGATTGGTTGGGTTGACAGCTCCGACAGAAGTGAAATGAATGGGACTGGGGAAATGAGTGAGAGTCACCGCAATATGAAGCATTGCAAATGTTCTTTCGTTTGCATTTCATTGGATAAGTTATGTTTGTTTTTCGATGGATGACAATCCGTCAAAA